CTTCCAAAATTAAAATTTGTTGAATAACCTGTGTCTTTTGGATCGTGTAGAAATGGAAGATCAACGCCTCATATCGGGAAGCTAGATGGTGACAAGTGTGTCCTTTTTGTTTGTAAAACATTATATTGTTCTGTTTATAATGATTACCGAATCAAATACTAAATTACTAACCCTTACAAATTTAATCGTTTCGTACAGTAAATTCTCGATCAGATATCATAAAAAAATCGACCATCAAATGAGTGAACTATGCAAGGAGCTTATCACTATTGATTTAATTTTTTTTTGTTTTTTATTGTGCAAGTGAGTTTGGATGCAACAATAATTAAATGGAAATTTCGATTAAAAAAATAATAATAATTAAATGGAAATGACATGCATCTGAAAAATCCAATCTCATTTGGATTAAATCAGAATAACAGTTTAGATCTATTTATTTTTATTTGTTAAAGGCTTACAATCTATTAATTTATCAATGTGGTTTTATTTTTGCGTTTGTGATGTGGTAGTGTAAACAATTATATTGGTTATTATTTATAGTTTAACTGAATGTTACAATCTTTTTAACTGTTTTAACTTTAAAACAAAACAAAAAAAAAAATTTCTGCTCATTGTGTTACTTTTACTATTCAACATTTGTTTGCTGTGAAGTTTCTTGACTACCTTTTCAAAATTTTCTTATTATTTACAACCAAGGAAATATAAGATGTAAGAACTGGTTATATGAAAGGGTACTCATCCATTGTTACATTTTTTTTTTTGTGCAACTTTTTTTTTTTGGTGCAACCATCCATTGTTACATATTTCTCTTGTTTATGACTGAATTTGAATGAGAGACTTATAAGTGAAGTGATGGTTTATTTTTTTCCTCCTGATTTACCATATTTTGTATATTTAAAAAATTACGATATACACAATATGAGTATATAAGTATGTACGTAAGAGACAAATTTGTCAACCAGAGAATAAGATTCGTCTAATGTCTCTGTATATATGTACCATAAATCAAATGGAAATACTGCAACTGTGCAACATACACTACAAGAAAACAGCCACTATTCCGACGG